ACAACAATTGGAGAAGTTTCAACAGAAGACAAAATAAGGGGATTGATAGAAGATTTATTGGACAAGTTACCAGAAGAATTTAATATGCAAGATCTTTACAGCAAGGTATTCATCCTAATTTTATAAATAAGTAGGAATTAATGAACCCAGAAAATAGAGAAATTTTAAAATTTTATTCAGAACTGGGTAAAATATTATTTTAAATGATAAATGATAATTAATAATAAAATTGAGATTAAATAGATCTATTATTATAAGTTATAACGCGCATAACTTTAAGAATAAGCTTATTCTTAAAGCTGAAACATTTAGGTTTCATTTCAAATTCGTACCGCGTAAAATGAAATCGTATAAAAAAGTTAATCATAAGGAAAATGAAAAAAATTAATATTTTTATATATATATATATGTAAGAAATATAAGATTTATATATATATATATATAAGATATATAAGAAATCAAAATTTTATTCATTCTCCTTCTATAATATATTATAAAATATATTATAGTATAATATAGTTCGGTTTTCTTTTACTGGAATAACATCACTATTGCTCGAAAGTCGTCTTCTTTGTAATACTATTTCGTGCCAATTGCGATAACATTACTTTTATATTTTCTTTTAGTAATTCGTCGTAGCAAATCATATAATTTCAAATTACTTTAAAATTGTGCCGATTATTCAACATTAGGATCATTTACAATGAAGTAATGTTGTAACTTATCAGCTAACTGTAGTCTTTCTTCAATTAAACTTGAAGTGAATTTGAGGTCAATTAAACTTAAAATAGAAAATCGTCATTAATATTATTTAATTAATTTTTAATTGTAATTTTTAATGTTAATTTCAATTGTAAAAGAAACAGTACAGTTATGAATAGAACATGTAAAAAATATCGTACCGTGTAAGATATATTTAAAAGTTTTTAAAATAATAGTATTTGAAAACAGTATTATTTATCTTGAAATATTTTATTTATTTTAATTTATTTTACTTGTTTCAAATATTACTGGAAATAATGATATACATTCAATATCTTTTAATGCTTATATACGTATTATTAATAAATTAATGTATTAACACTGTGATTAATATGTATGTACGTTTATGAACAAACGAAAATAAGTACTTATTGTGTTAGAATAGAAAGTGAATCTAATTCATATATTCATATCATGTGTAACACAGATACCTGTGTAATATAATCATCTAAATTAGAATATGTTGATAAATTGTAAATCAATGTAAAAAAAAACATCTTGAGATTAAGATGAAAAAGTTTGATAGCGTAATGAGTATTCAATATCTTACAAACTTTTTGATTGCTTTTCTTCGAACACTATCATTGACATAAAATTTAAAAAAAAAAACCAGCAATTATAAATATATTTCTATTATTCTTTTTCATAGCTTACAGTATTACATATTTCGAATGTTGTAATAAATTATAATAAATTTAATAATTAAATAATAATTAAATAATAATAAATCATAATAAATTTATTATATTTAGTTAATTTTTATTGCATTATATTATATTTGATGTTAATATTTTAATTGCTAATAATTTATTAACAAGCAATATTTAATATAAAAAATATGTAGACCAAAAGTTGAAATTGCACACATATAGAAAATCGAATCCCTCATATTGTAAGAAAATAATATTTAATAGGATTTTTTTCAATATTTTAGGTGGAAGATCGTACACCATTTGTGACAGTTGCTTTACAAGAATGCGAACGAATGAATCTATTGTGTGAAGAACTTCGAAGATCTCTACAAGAATTGGAATTAGGCTTGAGAGTAATAACAAATTTTAATATATTTTTACATTTTTTGCTGTACATTTTTATACGTACATATACACGTGGTATGTAATTGTCATGATTTTTCAAGCATTTCTAATAATTTAATGCGAAAAAAAAATTGTTTTTGGACGCGAAAGTCCATCAGTTTTCAATCAGTTAAAATATGCTATACATATGCTATATTTAAAATAGCTAAAATACATTTTTTTCGACAAAAGACTTCAACTTTTTTTAAACGACATTTTTTATTGCTTAATGTTGTAATTGATATCAATTTTGAAATGCGAAACCAAAAAAAACATTCTTATAAATTATTTTATTTGAATTAAATAGTACATTTTGAAATGACCAACAAAAAGATATAAATATAAATACACGTATAAAAATGAACTATATTAGACGTATATTAAATATATGTTTAAAATATTGCATATTTTATGCAGTGTCGTGATATATTCAATCATCTATTCACAATAACTGATCATTTTTTGATAAACATAATTCCAATTAACAAAATTTGCATTAGTTACTATTGTATGTAATGCTTGTGATGAACTTTTTTGTATACTAAACATTTTTTATGTTCTGTGAATTCATTGCAATTACAATGGAGACAAATGATTAAAAACGTTCTGACAAATGTATATCAGAACAACCAAATAAATTAATTTTTATTTTCCAATTTTTTAATTTCAGATACTAATTTTAAAAAATAAAGATCGTCAATATCATTCATATAAGTTAAATGATAAAGTTAAAAAGAGTAAATTAATTGATAATTAATTAATTGCTTTCTTAAAAGGGAGAGTTAACTATCAATGCTGAGATGGAAGAGCTAGAAAATTGTATACTGATGGATATTGTTCCAATATCTTGGACGAAACGAGCTTATCCTTCAGAATTAGGATTAAACAGTTGGTTTGCGGATATGTTGAATCGCATAACTGAATTATCTAATTGGACTTCCGATTTCAATGTAAAGTTTTATTTATCATATAAAATAATGTCCTGTTAACATTGAAATGTTTAGATCTATGAAATCTACATAAATGAATTGCAAATTTTAAGACCTGTTCAATTCAAGTTATATAAATACAAGAAATTTTAACCATTTGTATTCTTTCTCGATAAAAAAGACTGTAAAAGATTGCTCAATTAAAATAACTTTAAATACTTTAATTAATTAATTCATAAAGAAATTAAATAAAAAAGTCAATCAGTTAAATCATGAATTGAATTAATTTTATAATAATTAATCTAAGAAGGAATTGCTAACTTAAATTTAAAAATTAATCTAAGAAGGAATTACTAAAACATAAAATATAATTGTTTTCTATCATATTTATGTTTATGTTTATATTACTCAATAAAATGTTTTTCTTGCAAAATTTCTTATAAATTCATATTAATTGGAACACCTGACCAATTTATTACAATACTTTTCATTAAAAAGAAATAGAAATCCATTCTCAACTTTTTCAGGTATTCGTATTTAATATAAATTTGTTTTATCAATTACAGTTTGGAAAATGAATTGTATTTACAAAGTAACAAAAATGACAGAGTCAATATTTAGGTCTTTTCCAGACGATATTAACAGGTCATTACTATTTACATGTACACATCAAACACATACTTTGTTTTATTTATCAATTAATATTAAACTCTAAAAAAATCCGTCAATATTATGGCAATTAAACTATTTTAATAAAAATTTATATAGTTACCACCATCAGTGTGGCTAGGTGGTTTTTTCAATCCTCAATCATTTCTAACTGCAATTATGCAGCAAACTGCACGCAAAAATGAATGGCCACTGGACAAAATGTGTTTATATTGCGAAGTATTGAGAAAATACAAAGAAGAAATCACGTAATTATTAAAAATGTTATTCTATCTTTTCTTTCCAATATACTTTTATTTATATTTTTCTTTTTTTCATATTCCATTTTAAATATTGAATATATAAACATATAATATATATGTATACATTTTTAAATACTTTTAATATTTTATTTCAAGTATTATTATTCGAGAAACCATCATTGACGAAATTCTTTAGCATTCAAATACTTTTTTAAAATTTTTTTATATTGTAAACAAATATTGTTCGAAATCTATAAGATTTATAAGAATCTATTAGATCTATAAGAATCTAATAGATTTTTTATTATAACTTTACAGATCAGCGCCAAGAGAAGGCGCATATATAAACGGATTATATATGGAAGGTGCACGATGGGATATGCAAGCAGGATGTATTATGGACTCTCGATTTAAAGAATTGTTTCCATTATTACCAGTAATATATATTAGAGCGATTACACAGGACAAACAAGATTTAAAGAATATGTATGAATGTCCTGTATATAAAACACGATCACGAGGTCCTACTTACGTATGGACGTTCAATTTGAGAACTAAGGAAAAGGCTAGTAAGTGGATTCTTGGTGGAGTGGCAATTTTATTACAAATCTAATATTTAATGTATTAAATTATGAATTAAATTAAATAAAGGATTAAATATTATGCTATATTATAATGTTATATTATATTATATAATATATTATAGTATATCGTAGATGATGTTTTTTTTTATATAATATAATATTATTATTCACATTTATATAATATAAATATAATTACACATTATAATATAAATATAATATATGTTATATTATATAAATGTGAATAATAATATTATGTTATATAAAAAAAAATATCATCTACAAATGATATTTATTTATTTCATATTTAATTTCTTTAAATCATAAAAATTCATGTATCCAATTTATATAATTATGAATATGAAAATATATTTTTAAATATTATAAAGAAAAAATTATTACAAAATTATTACAAAAAACGCAATTTATTTATAATACTACTTTATTTATAATACTACATATAATACTAGAAATATTTTGTACATATTAAAATTTTTTATTAGCAATTCTTATCTTCTCTTGAATCCATATTTTTTCCTTTCGTAAAATAGATCAGTTTTGGAACTTCCAAGATTTACAATCTTTGGACAACCATCTCTCTGCAATGAACCAAATTTTAAATCTTAATTTGATATTGTATTTTATATTGTATTATACATAAAACTATACTAAGTTATAATTATATAAAAAATTTTGGATAATATTCTGCAATAGGCCTTTCACTTTCATTTTTAAATATTGTAAATAAAGTTATATATGTATTAAAATAAAATTATATATGTTTTAAAATGTGAGGAACATACCTATGATTAATTTTAAAGAATTATTTAAAAAGGAAGAAATACATTGTTGGTATTCAAAATAATCATTATTTGCAATACCATGTAACAAAGATTTTCAAGATAAAAAAAATATTTATATATATTTAATTAAAATCGTTTTCATTAGGTTATAAAATATTTTCCAGACCATAGCTAGTATAATCCAAACTATAAATCAAACTAATATAATCATTTTCAAATTTTCTTCATTTTCTGTTAATATTGTTTCCATTACAAAAAAAAGCAAATATATTACATAAAAAATTTGCAAATAAATACATTAACCAAAAGATCAATAATTTATTATGATATTCATGAAATGAAATCTAAATGAAAGATATAATGATAAAAATATGTTGAACGAATCCTTGAAGTAGCTTGAGAATTTAGTAATATGATTGATTGAACAAAATTAAATGTTACATTAACTGATGCCTAATTAAGATTGAGAAACATTCATTTAATAATCTTCAATTAATCAATTAATCTTTAAATTTTTTGATCTTATTTTCCTATAAAACTTTTACTTCTCAACATTTTTTTTACAAGGAATTTATGAATAATCAAATATTCTAAATCTGCTTCAAAACATAACATAAAATAGAAAGTAATAAAAATGACACAGTCATCAGTTTAATCACATTCTACATATTACAACAAATGTTAAATTATTTTTTAAATAACTTACATCTTTCTCCTGAATCGTGCATTCCTTGCAATAGTAAGCATCAGATACACCAGGTCCACCACAGATAACACATCGACCCTGGTAAGATCCGTAATTGCATTCATCACAAATTCTAACCAGAGTACAAGGCCTTACATAGGAATCACAAATTACACATTTACCATCACATTTTTCACATAATCTCCCTATTGCTGAAAATAAAAAATTTTATTTACTCCATACAAAATCTTATTTTCTTCATTCAATAATGCACTTTCTTATATTATATATATATATATATAATTTTATATGTAACTTTTACATTATATGTTTATCTGTTTTATATTATACGTTTAATGATTATTATATATAATCTTTCTATATTTATATATTATATTCTATATTATATATAATCTTTCTATATTTCAGTTACATTTCATATACAACAATGTTATAAGTATGTTTATAATTTTATGTTCATTATATAAATTATTACATAAATTGAATTAATTTTATATAAACTAAAATTAAAATATATAAATACATATATATTTTTAAAAATTATTGTTGTATAATTGTTCTATAATTACCAATGAACATTCAAATAACAAATCTAATTATTTATTAAGGAAGCACACTATTTGTTTATGTAATATTACTACACATACCGGGACAAAAAATAGCACATTCTAAAAATTATTAAATTTCTATTTATTAAACAAATGATACAAAATTTTTCTTATAGACATTCTTCTGTAATACTTTTATCAATATGTATAAATGATATAAATTAATGCAATACATTTTGTATTAAAAAAGAAATAAAAATATGGCAATATTTAGTAGATCAAAATGATAGTACATTTCATAGAAAACAATGAACAGAAACAAAAGAAACGAGTTTGACAATTGTCAAAATTTAGTAGAACCCCTTTGAATTTAATAACGGCAGCCATTCTTTGAGACAAAGATTTATATGAAGATTTATATTTCTTGATGATTTTCTGTTTTAATTCTTTTCATTTCTTCACAACTTGCAATTAATGATAACTTGCAATTAGTTGTTGTTTCTTTCGTAAATCATAATAGTAATGGAAGCTATCAGGTCTGTCTGAATTTCTTTTCATTGCTAATGACTTTTTTGCTATTTCTTATTTATATAAACATGTTTCTTTGTAAATTGCAAATGACACAACTTATGCTTTTGTTTTAACCAAGGTTTTCGTTGTATTTTTCATTCTTTCAGATGTTCACAACTCTTTAAAAGACATTGAACATTCCAAACATTTATTGTAAATCCAGCTTTTCCTGTAATTTGTCTCGCAGTCAAGCTTGAATTTGACGTCACACGTATAATAGCACGTTTATCCTGAGTTGTTAGACACTGCAGTCGTCCACAACTTTTTCTTTTTCCATGATTATTGGAATCCTTTATTGAATTCATTATCATTTTACTTCAACTTTGGTTATTTTTTATCACAGAATAATGTTCCTTGCTTACATTCAATATTGTCTGTATTTTAGCTGGATTTAAATTCCAAAAATGGTCGCATTTTCCTGTGACCCATTGTTGCAAATTTATTTATTTATTATGTTAATATGCACTTAACTGACTGTATTTTACACAAATGTTACGCTTTCAAAAACTTCTGTACGACTGAGGAACGTAAATATTCGACTTGTGTCATATACGTGTTTTTTTTGTTACGACTGCACAATACTTACATTTTCGTTTGTATCTCTTTGAGAAATTATACTTAGTCATACATTCAGCATACTACACATACATCCACGCCCACGAATACTGAAGTAATAATCTACGCATTCTATCTACTTCATGATATATAATATAAGAAAATATAGAGTGTGTTATCTTTTTGTCTCGGGGTTTATATACTGTACATGACAATATATTTGAATTAAAAACAAAATTTAAAATAATTAAACCTTTACTAAAACAAATAATAGTAAAATAATTCTACTTTTTCGAGCATGAATTTCACAAAAAATTGATATTCTTCAAACAGATAATAAATTAATTAATATACATGATTCTAACCTAAAATTCTAAATTGTAACTTAACCTAATATAAATCTTACCAACTCCTGGTTGTTTTCTGCAAAAAATTAAATCAGGATGATGTTTTGCCATATCACAGAATTAGCGGAATATTTTAATACGAATATTTTATACAGAATACAAATTGTATAAATATTTTTAGAACAGTCTTAACTGTGTTTACGTCTTAGCTTTGTTTATGTTTCCTTTCAAATCAACGGTTTCAATAATTCAGCATGTGTGAATAATAATTAAAATAGACGAACATTAAACCAAAAATTAGATATTTTCAACTCTGTATTTTTATTTTATTTGTATTAAAATAATACAATATCACTGCACTTATTTTAGCAATTATTTTTAGGATTATTTCACATAGATTAGTAGTTGGTACCCATGGAATGCTATCACTTTGTTAGATAAAGGCCGCGAAAAATTGAAATCAATTAAAAAAATAACCATTATTTATATTATATATGTTATTATATTATAACTTGCTCGAAATATTAATATTCTAAAATACAAAAAATCAATTCTTCTTGAATTCGGAATCTTCCGTAGTTCAATCTTAAAATCATCATCAATTAAGAATTTTCACATTGTTATTACTCTTAGTGCAATTTATAATATTTTTATTCTTAAAATTTGAAATATATATATTAAGTCTCCTTTTCAGAAATGGATCTTTAAAAATCATGTGTAATTCAACCGAAACTTTTAATTTATTACAATCTATAACAATTAAATTCAAAGTTTTCTATTGTAGTATTCTTATTATTTGCATATTTTATTTGCATTTCTTCTTAAAATGTTGCATAGATCTATTTTTCATGTACTTGTACTACAGATGATTTTGAATTTTTCTCTTAATATACGCGTCGACATTACACATAAAGCCAAGTTCATACGCTAGCATGACAATATTAATGCATAAAATTTCATGTGAGTAGAGAAATAATTTTTAGAAGTATATTACAATATTATTTTACAATATTTACTCTACTTATTTATTTCTTTTCCTTTCTAGCTTATTTAATATACATATATAAATTTAGTATACATATACAAAAAATATGTAAAATATCCATTAATAAAGTTTTTAGTAGATTTGTTCAAATAAAAAATTTATTTGTAAATAAAGTATACATTCATACACTTTATTGTTTAGTTACAGTTACAAATATACTATGTATTTAGTTTTGTAATAATTTGAATATGAAACGCTATGGAGATATAAAAGACTGATTTTTTGACTAAAAAGAAAATTTAAAAGAAAACAGATCTCGAACTAATATATTTATAATTTATAATATAATATATTTATAATATATAGAATAAATATTTAGAAATAATTAAGAATTAATAATTATCACGTTATTTTAATGAGTTTATTTTATTATTATTAATAGAAAAATGATTCCTAATGATTCCTAATTTAAATTTTGATTGTAAATTGACATGCGAGATTCGAAGAAGAACTTGCGAATATTTCAAACTTCAAATGTAAACATCATCATTTGCTTAAATACACAGCAGTAAATATGTCCGAACATTCGATATATGATATGGCTTATCGTGGTAAAACTACAGATGTTAAAAATTTACTAAGTGAAAATGAAAAATTAAAAACAGCCAAAGATGGTGTAAGTGTATAATTATTTATATAATATATTTTTTAAGGTTATGTTATTAGTCAAATTTATTTCCTCAGAATGGTCGAATGTTATTACATTGGGCAGCACTTGGAGGACACGATGATTTAGTAAGATTTTTATTATCTCTTGATGTACCAGTAGATCCTACTGACGACGTAAGTAAAACATTAATAAATAGTTTATCATATATTTTTATGGTAAATTATAAAATATGTTTTTTAATGTTATGTTATTAGTTACTAGTTCTATTCAGTATTACCAACATTTCTTTTAAATACTTATTATTTCTAACTATACCTCAATATTTATAAAGCAATTTTTCTATTCGTGTAAAGATTTTACAAAATTGGAGGGTTTGCAGCAAGGAAGCAGCTACACATTTTTTGTTATATATTCTATTTCATTAAAAAAACATGATCTTTTGGTTGGTATAAAAGAAGTTTATCAATACGAATGTTATTTGACTATAAATTTATAGCAACTTTGAAACAGTATCTTTTAATTACTTTTTATTAAAGTGAAGCTATCCACTATCCAAAAGTGGAGCTATTTCTTGTTTGCAGCAACACTTCAATTAGTATGTGAAAGAAGATTATAAAATTATTTAATTCTATCATGAGAAAATTTAAGTGAATTAGAATATTTTATTTTGAATTTTATTATTATATGTTACCTTTGAATATGTTATTTTGGTATATATACAATAAAATCAGTGTTGTTATTCATTATATAAAATACATAAATAATATAACGATTTAAAAAAATATATTTTTTCATATGAAAAAAAAGAAAATTTTAATTATTTTAAATTAATTTTTATAAACGTTATTTATTAATTTTTATAAACAACAAAATTATTTATTTAATTTTTATGAATAAACAGAGTTTGTATTTCCATTTTGCATTTATAATTATCTTTATTTTCTTTAATTTTAAAGAAATTTGAAACACTGTAATTTGTAATTTATGATACATTAGATTATTTGAGGCTTCAACGAGAAAGCAATTCAGATCGTGATTCTCCTATGATACATGGTATTTCGGATTCTAAAAATCAAAAACTAACAAAAATTAACAAATATATTATTATATATCATACATCATTTTAAAACTTAGTATTTATTTACATAGTAATTCTTTGATGATTTGAATCATTAAATCCATTTATAAAGTCGAAATCTTGTTTTTTAAGTGGAATTATGAATGGTAGAGCAAACTTATGAAAAAGTGAAATAAAAAATGTTGTTTCTTTTCTCTATCGAATTGTGTATGTTCTAAAGTAAACTTTTATTTACTAAACTTTCGATAATCTAATAAAATTACGGTGAATAAACGATATTATTTTTTTATGTTATTTGTAAGATTTCTTGCACTTCTGATATTAGATACAAGAAATATATATTTTAAATTTATTAATTATTTGGGCATTTCTTAAAATTATTATGCGAATTAAGATTAATTTTTTAAAATTTGAAACTTTTTAAAAAATGGTATCCTATATGAAAGAATGAAAGAATTTTATTTTATATTTTCAGTTCATTTTAGTTGCATCAATTGTAACTTTTCAATTTTATTAAATATTATAAAAAATATTTAAAAAAGAAAGATCAAACAAATTTATATTTTATACTACAAATTAACTTGAGTTATTATTAATTTTATATTAATATTTCTTTTTATTATTATATTTATTAAATAAACATATATTAATTAAATTAGTTAAATATTTTAATTTTGATGTTTAGACGGATATGACACCATTAATTTTAGCAGCGTCAGCTGGTCGTGAAAAAGTTATTAATACTTTACTAACTGAAGGTGCAAATGTTAATGCCAAAACACAAGAGGGTCATTCAGCATTGCAATACGCTGCATCAAAAAATTGGAAATCCATTTGTGCTGCATTACTTGAAAAAGATGCCAATGTTAATGTTACTGACAATCGTGGTGCTACGCCACTGCATAGAGCCGCATCTAAAGGCAATATTGCTATTGTGAAGCTCCTCATAGAATATGGACGAAATTTAGATATTGGTAGACATTTAAACTTAAATCCTTTAATCTATAATTATTCTATGTAATTTTCTATTTCAATTTTCTAATAAACTTCAATTAAATAAGTATTCAATTAATAAACAAATAAGTATTTCTACCTAAAAGCCAAAATCAATATTTCAATTTATTAACAATTACGCTAGTTTAAGATTATTATACTAGTTTCTTCTTCAAATAATTAATTAAAGTTAATTTAAATTTTGACTTCCTATTATTTTTAAGTAATTTAGCTAAATTTATTTTTTGAGTCTTGAATAATAATTTATATAAGTTATAAATATTAATTTTAATATGATAATGTGTGTATTTTATCTAAAAAAAAACTTCTTTTCAGACAGTAAAGATGCTGATGGTAACAGTGCATTACACTTGGCATGTGAGGAAAATCGTGTTGATGAAGCTAAGCTATTAGTAGAAAATGGTGCTAGTACAACATTAATGAATAAACAAAAAAAAAGTCCTCTCGATTTAGCAAGTCCAGGATTGATACGACAACTGAAAGAAATAGAGAAAAATTGATCTTAAATAGTAAAAGAAAGTATAAATGTTATTGGTTCAGTGATGTTCAATCTGTTTCTTTGGTGTCAATACAAATTTGAATTTTAGCAATAAAAAAGTTCATTAAACTCATAAATATAATATTTTTATTATATGAGTAATTTTGTCATATTAAAATTAAAAATAATAACAAAATTTTTAATCGATGAGATATGATTATAATTAATGTTTCAATGAATTTTCATGTATTTTTTAAATTAAAAATATGTGAAGGAAGAAAGAAAAACAGAATATTTTATACCTTATATAATTAGCATCTTGATGTACATTAATATTTATAGTTGTAATAGATAAAATGAATAAAAATAACATTAATATCTTTTCTACTCTGAAAATACAATATTTTTATATGTTATATGAAAATTCTATCGAGGAAAATCAAATAATGTATAAAATAATGTTTAAAATTATAACATATAACTAAAAACGTAAAATGTTAAAAAGTTTTACAACATTGCTATAACTAGTCTTCATATAAAGTTTAATGAAATCATTTAATTTAGCACCATTTAAACTATTCCATCTTTTATCCTCACAGTATGAATAGTTTAAAATGTTTCTTCAAACAAAAGGAGAGAAACATGGTGAATATTGTACAAATTAAAATGTTATGTCATTTATATTTAATATGAAATTATAGAAATATTCATTTTAGTAAAAATATATATACATACTAAACAAGACAAACACTTCATAATTATATTAATAGTATTAATATATTATATATTAATATATATTAATTAAAATCATTTATTACTATAAAATTTTAAAATTATGTGCACATAGTTTAAAAAACAAAATTTTATTGTTTTTAAAAATCTATATGAGTAAAAATTTCTCCTTATATGTATATTACTAAAAAAAAATATATGAATAATAATAACATAAATAACATAATTAAATATTTAATTTTTTTGTATTAATAAATGAAATTCTATTCATTTTTTTAAATGCTAGAAGTGATCCTAATAAAAATACATAATTATAAAGGAATAATATATCAATCATTAATTACAGTTAATTGAAAATCACTGATCATAACAGTTTCGTTATTATTCTCAATTTTTAGCATTTATTATGCCTTCCTTTTAACATACTTAGATGTATTATTAATATTTGATTTATATTTATATAAAAGGTATCAAAAAAGTTCATCATTTTGCTGGTCAAATCCTATTTACTTATTGACCTCTCTTTCTTACTCTTCCAGTTAATTTATTTTTTCCATATTTATCTATTCCAACCCCATCAGAATTCATATTTTTATATAGAAATAACGCTTAAAATTTCAGAATTAGTTGCTTAAATAAAACGCACCACAGTTGAGAATTATTTTCTGCGCTTATTTACACAAATTCACAGCGATTCGCAGATAACATTAGATGGTCTAGATTTCTTTTTCCGTCAGAGAAATTTTGGATGGTTTATAAAAAATATATTATTAAAGTTTTTAGCTTTTAGCTTATTTTTATATATAAATTTTTCTATATTATTTATTTTAAATAAATAATTTGTTAGAAACAAATGATTAATGTAAAAAGTATATACATTATTGTAATTTTTTCTAATTCTATATTAAATTTACACTCAATTTTTTGAGAACATATACGATAATAGATATTTATCTTCTGAAACATTAATTCTTTTTAAAATTTTGAATGAATTACTTGAAAATCTTTAATAATTGTATCAAAAAAGGATGATATTTTATATATATATATATATAAAATAAAAAAATTTTTAATATGCATCGTAAATTCTTTTCATTAATTAAAAGAGGAAATGAAGGAAAAATAAAAAAATTTTTATTATGGCTATATTGAAGATATTTTAGTATAATTGTTATGTTGATTGAATTCCTTTTACATTATTTATTTATTATTATCTACTCATTATTTATAATAAAAATAATATAGTACGATTTTGCACAGTTAAAGATGTATATTTTTTACAATCATCCAAATTTCCATCAAAAAGAAATACATTTGATGAAAAGGTTGATGTTTCGGCGTTCGGTGTTCAAGCTTTCTATGTTTTATAAAAGATCCTGAGGCTCAGAGTTTTCATCTATGTTTCCAGACCTAAAAGAAGTACAAATACGTGTAATCTCTTACGTCTCACTTTCGCTCTCTACTCGCGCATCGTCGACATTTATATTTAATAGACACAATTGAATACAGTGATTTATTTTATGTACGAAATTATAATTTATTTATTATTATATAAATTCGTCGAAAATCTGTGTAAAGTTCATTAATCAAAAGATTTTCAAATTTAATGATCATTGTTACGTGGAGGAAATAATCCACGATGGTGTGAAATGGCAGTTCAATTGAAAAGCCTGTCTAAAAAATCACTAGAAAGCTGTTTAATGTAAAAAACAGGCCAGGTTTGTTCAGATACAATCATTTTACCATATCAAAAAATAGAAATAATAGAAATAACTCTAGCATGTACATATACATATACATATACATATATATATATATATATATATATATATATA